TCCGACACTCACTCGTTTAGCTTCGTCCTTAAATAGACCTGGCAGCCATGTTTTCGTGCGAAAATTAAAGAGTACGAGGAGCGGGGAGAAACAGACAGTCGTCAAGTGACACGCGTAATCACTTACACTGTGAAGATTAAACTTCAAACGAGCACAACATTGCTAAGTCACCTCGAATCATAATTGTTGTCTCCTCGCGCTTGTTGATTGACTTATTTACATAACTTCGTCGTTTATTTAGTTAGTTTAGGTATTTGAGAACGAAGTGATAGGTTTTAACTATAATTGGCTTTATTACGGTTATAGTAGGCGCTCGGGACCAAGACATAAGTTTTGTATAAAAGTCGACCAAAGCTCGTCATGATTTATTACCTTGGCAATTAGTTCGTTGAGAAGCATACGGTAGAGAGAGGTCGACGTACAAGAAGGGAGACGAGGGTGAGGAATACAGACGTCAGGAAGAAAGAGAATAGGGAGATTAAGAGAGAAGGGGATTCCGATCGAGGGGTGTCTTCGTACGCTTGGATTTTCTTCCTAGGGCGTGTGTTGAACTGAGACACAAAACTACGAGAGAGCAGCTTTGGATCGTTCCACGTTGAGTCGTTGAGTTGCTGGGTATGTAATGTAGAGGTTCTGGTCAAGTGGGGTCTCCTTTTCTCTGCCAACCCTTCCCACTATAAATGGTACATAGGGACAGTTCAGCGTCACATGTGTGAGGGCGAGCAGAGGAGTAGACGTCTAAGTTATATACTGAGTTATAGGAATAAGGCGGTATTAACTCCCTTTGTATTTTGGTAACGATGTATTGGCATTAGAGTTATGAGGAGTGCAAGTATAGTAGCTGGCTGACTGTACCTTCTGGATTTGCTGCATACGGGTAGACATTAGTACGAGCAGCAATTGGTAAATAAGAATGACAGCAAACCATCGAACTTAAGCCTTTGCATTTATTTGAAGTTTTTTTACTTCACAAAGAGTTAATGACCGATTAATAGCAAAATGCAGTCTACTTACGGACCCTCTGGGTACAGTGTGTGCTGAAATAATACAACTATCGGTGGGAGTAAACGACGTCCGCGGCTTTGTTCCCAATCCCTCCACAGTTAGTTCGTCTTTGCTCAGACCATCCTCGGGTGTCGGGACTCTCCTTCAGGTTAAGCCGTTGGTATTCACCTGGTGTGAACACACGCCAACCAATCAATACATCCCGAGAATTTACTAACTGTCGGGTGTGGGTTTGACGATTGGTCTCTAGAACGGTGACTGGAATTTGTAATTTGCGGCGTTAAGTGTTATGTGTGTTACATTTTAACATTTGATAAGTTGTACTTTATCAACAATTTGAGGTGACTACTGTATGAAATACAGGAGGGAGTTCACAATTTGTTGTCACTAAAAAATAAAGAATGGACCACAAAACATGCTAAGACTGGTAGTTCAAAATGGTAAAAAATTATACATAACATAAATTAATTATAAGTGGTTTTCTTTTGCGGTCATAATTCGTCTGTAGTACGGTTTTTTGAACTTGGTTATCGAGGGTCGATTGAGGTTACAGGTCGAGCACTGTCACTTCGGGTCGTATTTGTGATAGCGATGGAGAAAATCTTTGAGAACTTACTTGAGTAGCACAATTTGGACTCTGTGACGAATTTACGAATTTGGGGCAGATTGGACTAGGCAAATATGTTCATTTCATTATCAATGAGTTTTATGATTTGTTAAATTGATGTGAGTAAACTTCCCTCTAACTGAAGAAAAATTTCCAGAGATAATATGACAAAAAAGTAGTATGATGGACAAAGTAACCAGAGTGCTATATATTGTTGGTTTTAGGCAGAGACTTGCAGCCAACCGAGCTTTATGGTTTGTCTGAGTACGTAGACGGCATCGTCGACGGGTATTTGGGGGAGAGCAGGAAGGTCGGGAGGACAAGAGTTTTCACGCGACTAAGTGGAGACAGACAATGAAGATCTTACAGTTTTATTCTGCGGTGAGGGGGGCGGGGAGCTCTGCATAAACCAATGGTTTTGTGTGTTATACGCGCAAGTGGCGCTGGCCTCATGAAAATGGGCGGAGGAGAAAAGGCAAATCGGGGCGAATCACGACCTTAAAACGCAAGTGTGGTTGTGCGTGTGTGGATGCAGAGAGAGAGAAAGTAACACGCCGCGCGCGCGCGCGCCGAAGCACTTCGGCGAGAAGCGAGGGAGAGCGAACATAAACTACGGTAGACGAGAGAGCGACCGAGTGCGAGAGAGGTGCGTAATGCGGTGAGATCGGGGGGCGTCGTCCGCGGTTGCCGTCTCTCTTATGTGGGAATACCCGTTTGTTTTTTTTTTTGCGTACCCTCGGCCACCTCACTACTCCTCCACAGCCGCAAGACCGCTTAATATAGCCTTCGAAGGTCATCTGCGACGACCTCTAGGGGTCAGTCGAAGAGATGGGTCGAAGAAGGTGAGGTTTTCATGAAGGCTCACTTTCGCGGATAAAAGCCGACGAGAGATCCGTCCGAATAAGTTCACTGGATGATCACCGCCCCGCAATGGAACCAACCCACCTAACCGATTAGCCAAGTTCGGTTTTTGAGCAATACTGTAGGTTCACTCCGAGTAGAAAAAAGGACTTTGAAAAGTCTTTAGAGAAAGAGTGCTCCCCGTGATGAAATATTTATCTGTTCTGTACTATTTCTAGCCTTAAAACGTATTATCAGAGCACTAGGAAGTTCCTAGGTAGAGTCCCAATTAATGAGTGTACGGCGTCGTGATCCACCGTCAAACGACTTGGCCAATATAAAAAGACACTTTTACATAAGAGGATATTCAAGTCGACTTATACTATCGACAGTCGTCTTCATCAATCTCTTAAGCTTAGGCATTAGAAGGTATCGGCAGGAGAAATCACGTATCTCAGCATACGAAGTCTTCTGTCTTTCCGGCGTCCACAAACACAAAAGTTATGAAAGGAAAGGACCTCCCATCTACGTAGCTACACTGTCCGCGACAACCGGTCTTATGGCAGTTTCGACCGACGTACACTCCATGAGGGACTTTAGTTACCTCATGAGCGGGATTGTGCGATAGTAACACTTTTTATTCCGAAGCCTTTAAGTTATTATGACGGCGTCCTGTATTTGAGTAGAGTTTAAAGCATTACTCGCGAAAATTACTAAAAGACCCTGTAAAATGAAGAATCGAATAAGAATGTACACGACATAGGTGAAGACGGAGTGCGAGTGAGTAGGTGTGTGAGTGTGGCTTGTAGCGCGAGCGAAGCTGCGGAGCGAAGCCAATGCGTGAACAAAGGAGAGACACATTGTTGGTTTCCTCTCAGGATTGACAAAGCCCCAATTATTCCTCCTTTCTAGTACTGTCTTGTAATTGGACTAGATGTCTTTGGCGAGCTTTGTCTTTGTGTTCACAAAATAAAAGATTACAGAGTCTCCCATAAAAAGGAAGTTTTACAGACACACCCACACAATCTGTTGAGGTGTGTGCATACGTGGAAACGAATAATCCAAGTTGCTTGAACGACAACTTGGTGGATTAAGGCAAATCCAAGAAAAACAAACCTGTATTATGTAAATTATTCAGTTGCACAAGACGAAATAGTCACATGACGCATTGAAGCTCACCTGGTAACGAAAACAAATTGAGAATTTCCAGCCCATCTCATTCCAAATCTCTTGGCCGAGCTCTATGGTAAAAGACAATATAAGGTA